AAAAAACAAAAGACAAACAAATCTGCGCAGAATTCAAGTAGAATCACAGAGCTAAAGGAAGAAATAGATGAAAAAATGAAACAACTCCAAAATTTGGAAGATGCTTGTGAGGACATCATGCTGGCAGATGGCAACTGCTTAATGATACCTTATCAAATTGGTGATGTTTTCATTAGCCATTCTCAAGAAGAAACACAAGACATGTTAGAAGAAGCAAAGAAAACTTTGCAAGAAGAAATTGACGCCTTAGAATCCAGAGTGGAATCAATTCAGCGGGTGTTAGCAGATTTGAAAGTTCAGTTATATGCAAAATTTGGGAGCAACATAAACCTTGCAGCTGATGCAAGTTAAACATTTTATAATACTTTTAAAAATTTGTTTAATAAACTTGAATATTGTTTTAAAAATATATAACCATAAATGTCCTGATATATAATGGACTCCAGAGCATAGTATTGGGTTGTCAGAAAAGTCATGACGCATTTTTGCAATGAAAAACAGAAAAAATACATCATGACTTTTCCGACAGCCCAATATTTTCTCATTCATTTATGGTAGGATGGATATGTTATGATCTATTTACTCAATTTACTACTAATACCAATTAAGTTGTTTCCAATACAAAACAAATAAAAACAAACAACCATACACACGAAAAGCCCTGCAATATCCTGAAAGATGTCTTCTAAGGTCTCATGTAAATATTTCTCTAGTACAGACAAATAGAAGTGGAATTACAGGTTCAAGGGATATTTGCATTTAAAAATATAATAGATCCTGTCAAATTGTCTTTTAAAAGTCTTTATCTTTTTACATTCCCTCCAACTGTATTTAAGCATTTCCTCCTACTCCCCAACAAATCCTTACTTACATTGGATATTATCTATCTCTTCAATTTTTAGTCTCTTCATAGACTAAGGAAGGGGTTGGAAACCTCACTGTTTTAATTTGTATTTCTCTAATTTTAGTGAAATAAAGCATATTTTATGTTTATTGGCCATTTATATATTTTTGTATATTTCTCATTCTTTTATTAGCCCACTATTCTGTACCAGCATTTGTATTTTTCTTATTGATTTGTAGGAACTTTTTATATATCCCAGATATTAATCTTTACTTATCATGCAATTCGCAAAACATTTTCCTGTTTCTCTTTTGAATTGTAACTCTGATTATGGTTGTTTTCCATAATCATACCATATTACCATAAAGATGGCAAGTTAAAAGTAATGCCATCTACCTTTTTTTGAAATTCTTATAATATTACTATTTTGTTAACAACTTAGAAGCTGGAAAAAACGTCTGAGATGCTTTCTTTTCAACTAAAATACTTCTGCTGTTTTCTGTTGATTGGGAGGTAATTGTTTTTTCTAACAGGGACTGAAGGGCGGAGAAGATTTGAGAAATAAGGGATTATGTAGTAGCATCGAACAGTAAAAGTACAAGAGCTTTTCAGTTCCTCTTATTTGTTTGTTACTATACAGAACATCTGTAAGGACAATGTACAAATATATGAACAAAAATGACATTCTACGGCCAAATATAAAATGCTTTTGAATTGTCTATCATTGAATAGGTTTCATATTATACCTTACCTCCCAATGCCTAGATTGTTTTTAAAAAATGACTTCACTTCTCATACTAGATTGAGCTTTAAAACCAATATTTGATCCCTGCAATGAAAATCCCAAGTAATATTAAGTATAAAAAAAATTCATATCCTATTTCTTCTTTCCTTTCTTTCTTTTTTTTAAAGTAGTAAAAGAGCAGTTTATTAGAAGAGATAGTATACTTCAAAGAAATAGAACCGGGCCTGAGCAGTAGAGAATGGCTCAAGGGTCATTATTAGAAGAGAAAATGCATTCCAAAGAATTTGGAGCAGGCTGAGCAAAAGAAGTTCAAAAGGCCCTGACTGGCCTTTCCTTTCTTTTTTTTGACAATGCATTTCTTATGTTATCAGTCTCTTATGGTGTTTATGAAACACACAAACAATAAAATCTAAAACCTAAAATAGAGATAGAAAATTAAATAAAGGTAAATTGGACTTAATTAATTAAGTGCTTTTGTGGAAGTAAACTGACTACTAGGTGATCTAGTGAATTTGAACAAATTTGTTGTTGGCCAAAAGAGAAAAACCAGTGAGTATCATCTATACATTTAGAAAATACTTATTAAATGCCTGATAATATCAAGGAATGTGCAACAAAGAGCATGATAGAACCATGTCAGCTCCCTGTAAATTTGTTTATTGGAGAAGATAATTACTGATCTTTGCAAATATATGTTTCTATTAGTTATGGTAAAAAAAAAAGAATAAACAAGATCTTTTAAAAAGTTTGAAGACCTTAAGCTTTATTCAAGGTGATGTTTAAAATATTTAACAACTGGCAATGCCACCAAATCACAACAGACAGAAGCTGGTCAACCATACCAAATAGTGGCTGAAAATCAGCCCTGGTTATATTAATTTAAAGATTAATTAATAGAAAGTGGAATGATAGCTGGTACAAAAATAGTCATTCTAAATAAGCCTCTTTTTAAGTTGTTGGTAACAGATGCAAAATTAGTTTAAAAACATATAGAATAAGGGCCAGCTGAGTGGCTCAGTTGGTTAAGCGCTTGCTCAAGAGTGCGAGCTCTGAGCAACTGGGTTGCCGGTTCAATTCCCAGCCCAAGCTGAGCTGCAGCTGAGCTGCCAACAAGTGGCAGGATGGCTCAGCTAAAAAAATAAATAAATAAAAAACACAGACTGTGAGAAAAACTCAGCTAAATTTTAAATTTTGGGTATTTTTAATTTATTACCTTTTAGTAAATTTATCTCATAGTTTTATTATTATTTTGAATAAATAATACATTCACATGATTAAAAATATCAAAAAGTATGAAAGGTTATTCAGCTAAAAGAGTCTCTTCTACCCTCTCCCAGACTCAGTTCTCCTTCCTGGAGGAAACCAATGTTGCCCCTTTTCTTGTGAATCCTTCCAGACATAATGTATATGATTAAAAAAAAAATTTAGATTAATAAAATATCCTCAGACTGAAGCTTGCAGACAACACAGAAAAAAACTGGTGATCAACTAAGACAAATGAGAACAGTAAGAAATAGAACTTTGTGTTCGTGCAATGGACTGAATGTTTATGTCCCCCAGCCCCAAATTCCTATGTTGAAACCTAGCCCCCAAAGTGACAGTATTGAGAGGTGATTAGGTCATGAGAGTAGAAGCCTCATGAATGGGATGAGCGTCCTTATAAAAGAGACCCCAGAGAGATTCCTTACCCTCTGCCATGTGAGGTTGTAGTGAAAAGGCAGTAAGTAGTCTGTGAACCAGAAAGTGGGATCTTACCAGACATCGAATCAGCGGGCACCTTGATCTTAGACTTCCTAGCTTCTAGGACTATGAGAAATAAATTTCTGTTGTTTATAAGCCCCCCAGTCTATGTATTTTGTCATAGCAGCCTGACTGGACTAAGACACTTAGGAAAATGAATTTCAGTAACTCATAGGAAAGGGCATTCTATCTGCTGTTATATTCTGGGTCAAAGATGCTTCCTGAAGGAAGAAGGCTTTGCCTGTATGCTATTAAGATGGACTATTTCAAGTTTGCTACATATATCAGGAGTTAAAAAAAATTAAATATAGTTTTATTTAAAGTAATCCTCATTTGTTTAAAAAAATTGAGATATAATTCACATGCCATAAAATTCAGAATTTTAAGTGTAGAATTCAGTGTTTTTTTTAGTATATTCACAAGGTTACGTAGGCATCACTATCTAACTCCAGAACATTTTCATTACGCCAAAAAGAAATCCTTCACCCATTACAGTCAATCCCTCTTCCCCTTGTCCTCCAGCCTCTAGAAACCACTAGTCTATTTTCTGTCTCTATGGATTTGCCTATTCTGGACAATTCATATAAATGGAATCATATAGTAAGTGGTTCTGTGTCTGGTTTCTTTTACTTAGCATACTGTTTTCAATGTTTATCACATTGTACCATGTATCAGTACTTTATTGTTTTTTCTTACCATTGTTTTTTAAATTTTTTGTAAAATATTACTTAACATAAAACTTACCATTGTAACTATTTTTAAGTGTAAAGTTTAGTGGCACCAAGTACATTCACACTGCTGTGCAACCACTACCACCATCCATCTGCAGAACTTTTTCATCATCTCAAAATAAAACTCTGTGCCCATTGAACAATTTTAACTCCCCATCCTTTGGTAACCTTTATTCTACTTTCTGTCTCTATGAATTTGCTTGCTGTAGGTACTTCATATAAGTGGGATCATATAACAATATTTGTCCTTTGTGTCTGGCCTATTTCATTTAATGTAATGCCTTCAAAGTTCATCCATGTTGTAGCTTGTATCAGAGTTTCCTTCTTTTTTAAGGCTGAATGATATGGATACACCACATTTTGCTTATCCATTTATCAGTTGATGGATATTTGGGTGTTTATACTTTTTGGCTATTATGAATAATGCTGCTCTGAACATTCGTGTACAAATTTTTGCATAACCTTATGTTTTCAATTCTTTTGGGTGGTAGAGATTATTAGGTGGGGCTGTACAGGTAATAAATGTTGATGAGTAAAAACCATTTCCCAGAGATGGGATACTTTGATCATGACCCAGGGATGGACAATGACCACTGGGATTCTGTGTCTCCTTTAAGGAAAGAGTGAGAAAGTCTTCATTTGTATAAAGGATAGTTGTATCTTGTTAGATACAAACATAAAGTTGTTACTGTAACAACTTTAAGTATGTATTGTAGAAGGGTGTATGTAGATGCTAAGTAGCCAAATGAAAGAACTGTGTTGGTTACTAAGCTATTGTCTCTCAGATCCAAACTCACCTTTCTGTATTCTACTTTCTGAGTGTAGAAGGCTGGGGCTCTACAAACCATATTTTTCCTTTGGCAGCTGACTCTGTTAAACGCTGCCAATGGGAGGGTGGCACTAGAGGGAAACTGAGGTAGAAGAGCCTTACTCTTTTGTTTCCTTGCTGTTCCTAGCAGTACCACCGTAATTCTTCACTCTCGCAGTAGCTGTTGATTCCAGTGTCCAGTATTTTCCACACTCCCAGAATGATCACACTTCCTCAGACGTATCAGAATCAGCTGGCTGTCATCTACTTTATTCCTCAGAAGTCTGGGTCCCCTAAAGGACCGGTCCCAGTTCCACAAAGGCCTTTCTCTGAGCTCCTAAGGTATCAGTAAAGCTGGGAGAAGCTACTTCCTGCAGTTCTTATCACCATGGCACCTCTGTGTTTCCTTTTTATCTTTTCTGTTTTCCAGTATTTATTTAACCAGTTCTATTTATTAAATTTAAGTGTATCTGTTAAAATAACTGGTATGATTTCTGTTTTCCTGACTGAACCCTACCTGATACGGAAAGTACCAGTCAAACTTCTCAGGCTATGAATAATCACTCATTACCTTATGTCCAAACTGAATTTGTTGGGCTCTATAAAGAAACTATATTTTAAATGGTTACCCATAATATGGAAGTAAGTATATTTTAAATTGTTACCCATTTTCCAAGCAGAGCTCTTCTTTCTTCAAATACCTACAATAAATACAAAAGAATAGAATAGATTTCATATTTCATGGTTAAAAACACCCGTTACAAGAAAAACATCATTAAAGTATTAATAAATAAATATTGTTTTTTCATTGTATAATATCAACTGAGTATAAAAAGACATATTTCATTCCTGAGAAGGTATTTCACTTATTTTTAACTTGGGCAAAGTATCTTTTCCTTCAGTTTTCTCCATGTGGAATAATGCATTTTAAAGAAGTAATTTTTAAAAGGCAAGAAATAAGAAAAGAATGGAATTGTAGAGTAAAATCAATTTTAGAATTGGAAAAGAAAAGAGATGAAAAAAACTGACAAAGAAAAAACAGGAAAATGGAGACCCCGCTCGCCCGCCCCCCCCCTCGAATATTTCACTAGCAATAGAATAACTTGTGAAATTTATGAATGAGCAGCTCTGTTTTTATATTTCAGTATGTATACATGTCAGTAGGTATACATGTACTTATATGTTTGTAGGATTAGAAATTTGCATATGTGTACCTCTGGCCTTACAACTCAGTGTTTATCTGTAGAGGTATGTTGTTATATATTATTTAGGACAGAAACCATGTCTTAGTCAACTTTACATCTCCAGTGGAGAGTGCAGTGTATCACAGATACTCATGTTCGCTGGACTGAATGAATGTGGTTGTGACAACGAATATCCTTATGGATGTATCTGTACAATGTGAGTTATTTATACACTGGTGTAGAAGTGTTTTTCTGAGTATCAGTCATATATGTATTTCAATGAGTGAGGAAGGGAAAACTATTATCAGAATGTTTGGCAGAGGAGGGAGCTTTGGAGAGAGGAAGCAAGAGAAAGTAATGAACAGATGCGAATGTCTCTCTCACTCCCACACACACACCCTGTCAGCGTTCAAAATTGGAATCGATGTTTTTCCCTTCCTCTTAGCACTACCAAAATTCTTAGCACTGCAAGAACGTTCCTACTTGGAAAGTAGCTCAGGCCTATTTCTTCCCTTTTTGTGGAGGAGGATGAGCTGGTTTTATGCTTTCCTTGCTTTATCTAGACTCTCAGACTCTAGTTTTAAAGGGCATACAAAATGGGGATTGAAATAATTGCTTCAACAACAACCTCAAGGCCAGTGAAATGTCAGTTTTGCTCCTGGCCAGCGAATCACATACGTCACAAGTAGATATTCTTTGCATGTTAAAGAAGAAAAAGAATGTCCTTCTCTCCTTTCCCCCAATTAACGGCCACCTGGGCTACAATACTAGGACCCTCAAATAACAGCAACATTTACACTCAGAATTTCCAGATGAAAATGGAAGAGAACCTATAGAATATAGAAGAGTCAAACACCTGGATTGACATATTTTCTGAACTCTTCTCCTCTATCTAACCAGATCCTATCAGTCTTCGATCACCCAACCCCAGGACTTTTCTGATGCCCTGTGATCCAGCTCCTCCCAACTCGTACTCCGCTTACAGCCCGGGCCCCATTTGGGTTTGCAATAGCTCTCTAGTTGTTTCTGTTTATTTTATCTTCCAGTGTAGATAACAGCCACTTTCTCTACACTAGCCACAGCTTCCATGGCAAACCCTCAATAAACACCTGCTGGTTGAAATACAGCAACAAAAAAAAACCTTCAAAAGTCATAGAATTTTAGAGCTAAAAGAAATTCTAAAGATTTTTTTTTCCGGCTCAGTTTCCTTATTTTAGAAAAGACATGCAGAGGTCCAAAGGGGTTACATTTATAGATTTGAAAAAAAATCACTGGTTCCACACTGTGTGTTCAGCTCAACTGTGTACTTGGTCCCTCACTAGAACCATGATCTTCCACCCGGTCCTGACTTCCAGCCCTACATTCTCAGTGAACTGCTGCCCATGCTTTTGGCCTCACAGGGAAAGAAAAGGTTAGATCCCAAGACCACAATCTCCTTTCAAAAGGAGGATGGGAAGACCGTCATGATGGCCAACGACAATATGGAGCATTGGAAACAAAGGGGCGCTGGCTTGAAGGGGAGAGGAGAATCAGCAAGATGGAAGCAGGAAATGAGAAGGGTGAGAGTGGGAGGTAGGGGACTGTTATTCAGGCTAAAATAATCGTCCTCAGAGGGCCAACGACAAAGTCTAAGCAGGGTCTATGTGATAATGGAGAAAATAAAATGGAATAAAGATTGCTAAGAGGGTCACTTAAAATAGAGTCAGGAGGGGCCTATGAACATCTTGCATCTCACTCAGAGCTGTGTTTACGTTGCTAAACCTGCTGCTAAACTCACCTTAAGGCGGAGCCATAAACATCCTGGAGCCGCAGACATCCTGAAACAATAACTGCTACACGGACACATATGGACTTTACTTCTTTCCGTGTAGTTTTCACCTCTTTCATTTGCATATTGGAACTAACCAATCCCTATTAACCTGGCCAGCAATCCTTCATTTGCATGAAAGAATTACATTTTGTGGTTTTGCCTTTATAAACCCTGCCTTTCCTTGGTCTCTCCAGATTTCAGTTTGAGTTGCTACCTGAATCTTTGTCTCTTGGATTGCAATCTTTTTGCTCAAATAAATGTTTTTTGTTTGGGAGTGTTCTTCAGGCTAAAGCAATAGTTTTTAAAGGACCAACGACCAAGTCTAAGCACGGTCCAAGCAAATCCAGTTCTTTACCAAAAGGCATCTAGACCCAAGTAGAAACTGATGGGCATGAAGGCGGAGGGGAGAAACACTAGATGAACTCAGATCTGGTTCAGGCTCTACCCTTGACAAGAAATATAATTTGGGACAAACTATTTAATTGTCAGGTCCTCAATTCAGACTTAGAGTCATCTTATATTCTCTGGTTTGGAGCAAATCTTCATTTTAAAGATTTGCAATCATGTTGTCATCTTAAAGAGCTGGAAAATAAATATCAATTCAAAATGGAAATATTAAAATAGATCTTTTTTCCTTGCAGAATGTTTACATCACAGGTTGCACTGAACCTGCTGTTAAATCAAAATCCTACATTATTATTTTAGTCTGTTGACACTGCAGCTACATATTCTACATGTGACATCATTAAAGTGTAGGAATGACAAATGTAGGGGGCTCCTAAATTATGACTGATTGATGGTAACTGGGTGCTTTTTCTCAGAAAGCCCTTTTCGCATGTACTGTACTACATCTGTGAACCATATTCGAATAAAAATGTTGGTTACTTTTAATTCAAACACTAGATGGAAAAGAAATACATGTACTTTTAAAAGATTCCTCTTCTCAAAATTCACAATGCCTGAATTATTTTGAAATCTGTTATATTTGCCTATGCTGCTGATGATACTTTTTAGGCATCTGAGTTTGAATTTAATCTCTCTGCTTAAAATCTGCTGTGAAGTTTAAAATCCTGTGACTCTTATTTTAATCTGAAATAGTTACATATTTCACATTTTACTATAAAGACAAAATTGAAACAAAAACAAGAAAAAAACAGACCCTCAAAATTATACTGATCATTGGTGACAAATGCCTTGTTTTAGAAGTGTGGAAAATCCCTTGAAATTATTGTATGGATACCTTCTGACCAGCTGTATCCTTGGCATTTACTTTTAATCCCTTTCATGGTCAGAATGTTAGATTTGGAAGGAAACTTCATGGTCATCTGATCCAAGCTATTGATTTTATAAAAGAGGGTAGTAAAGCTTGGAGAGGTTAAGTGACTTACTCAAGTCATGTGGAAAATTATTGGTACAGCTGATCTGGAACCAGAATGTTCAATTCCCAGAGTTATTGTTTTTCGTTTACTTATATTTATATTTGTTTTAAAATTTGATATTTTATCACACTGTATAAAGGAAAAAAATGAAAGCTCTTTTCTAACAGGACACCCCCCCACCACCACCACCATCCCCCGCCACTCCAATGGCATCCAACATTAGTGGTTTTCCTTGGGGGGAAACCACTATTTTTTTTTTTTTTTTAAGCTGAGCCATCCTGCTACCTGTTGGCAGCTCAGCGGCTGCTCAGCTCGGGCTGGACTCGAACCGCTGTTGCTCAGAGCTCAAACTCTTGAGCGAGCTCTTAACCAACTGAGCCACTCGGCCGGCCCTTGGGAAACCACTATTAATAGCTTGGTATATACATATACAAATTCTATGTGTGTGTGTGTCTATTTACATTTATACACATATACATGTATATACACACATACACAAAAATAAAAAAAAATAATTTTACTCCAAACTAGAACCTAACTAAACCAATACATACATACATATATATTAAATATATATATATTAAATATATAGTATTATATATATATATATATTTAATAAAATGGGAGGTCTGAACAGCAAAATAAATATTATCTCTAGAAAGTATCATTAAATTTGACAAAAGCTATTCAAGAATCAAGAGAAGATAATGCGGAGCCAGCCGAGTGGCTCAGTTGGTTAAGAGCACGAACTCTGAGCAACAGGGTTGCTGGTTTGATTCCTATATGGGCCAGTGAGCTGCACCCAAGCTGAGATGCCGCTGAGCTGCCAACAGGTGGCAGGAGGGCTCAGCTGATGAGAGCATGTGCTCCTAACAGCAAGGTTGCTGGTTCGACTCCCGCATGGGATGGTGGTCTATGTCCACCCACAACCAAGACTGAACACGGCACCTTGAGCTGAGCAGCCACACGCTGCTGATGGGCAGCCGAATGGCGACTGGGCCTGGAGCTGAGCTAGCTGCGCCCTCCACAATTAAGACTGAAGGACAACAACTTGGCTGTTCCCCTTCCCCAATTCTGCAATAAAATCTATAAAAAAAAAAACAAAACCCCAAAATGAGAAGATAATGCAACGCTTGCCTAATACACTGCCCTAATCCCCCTCCAGGACTGAAGGACTTATTCCCCCACCTGTTGGGAGTGCTGTTGGCTAGTAGCCATGAGCTTGAGAGGTCTGCCTGGTCTGTGAATTGAGGGTGGCTACATGGTCCATGGAGGCCTTATTGAGGCTGCATTCCAGCCCAGCTTCTTCCTCTGCCCCAAACCTCCTCCCCTCCCCTTTCATCCTGGTGCTGACCCCCAGAGCCCTTCCCAATCAACACCCTACATGCCAATCTCAGAGTCTGCTTTTCTAATAACCCAACCTGCCACAGGCCAACAGGCAATTAAAATACTTTTTTTTCTCCATGGATCCTAAGTTGCTTACGACTTCTAATTTTTCAAAGAAAAATTCTGAAAATCAAGGCATCCAATGAATATATATTTCAATTCAAGTTATTTTTTCACATGGGTGTAAAACCTTCACCATTCTATGGGAAAACTGATTTCAAAACTAAATACTGAGGAGGGCCGGCCGAGTGGCTCAGTTGGTTAAGAGCTCGCTCAAGAGTTTGAGCTCTGAGCAACAGCGGTTCGAGTCCAGCCCGAGCTGAGCTGCCAACAGGTAGCAGGATGGCTCAGCTAAAAAAAAAAAAAACTAAATACTGAGGGTTTTGTTTTTTTGTGTGTGGGGGGAAGCAGAGAAGCTGTTATATACGCTGTTGGAGAACTAAGCGCATTGCAAACAGGTGATTAATAAATAATTGTTGAGCTGAATAAAAAAGACTTTCAATAAACCTGTGTTCATGACTAGATGAAGACTGATTTCTCTCCCTTTTTCTGCCTTTCCTTTTGTTTCTCCTGGTCCCTCCTTTCTTTTCTATCTCTCTCTGCTTTCCTCACTTCCTTTATCTTTTTCCTTTTCAGTCTCTCTCCCTTTCGTTTCTCATTATTCCGACTGCTACACTGGCTCCTCTTGTCTCCCTCCCAAAATGGCTCATGTCTCACATCAGGAGTAGAAATAAGAAAGTACTGAGCAGCAGGGGGTCGGGATTGGTGCTTCAACTTGGTCAGAGCAATGAACATATCTGTTAGGTTCAGAGAGGGTCAAATGCAGGCTAAGGAAGGAGGGATATAGGGACAAAAAGGTGAGAGTATATGGAGAAGGTCCCAGGGAGTGTAGCTGAACTCTGACTCCATGTCTTGTGCCTCAGGAACCATATAAGGCACTGGAGACACAGAGAGAAAAGACAGAATCTCAACTCTTAACACATTAGAGTCAAGTGGGACAGCCGATAAGTCGTGATGAGAGGAAAGAAAAACAAGCAGGAGGGAGGATTCCTATTGAAATGACATTTGATTTGACTGTTACAAGAGGCAAAGGGAGAGCATGTGCAAAGGCGTGGAGGTGTGAGAATTAAAGGCTCTTCTGGGAGCCACTTAGTAGGCCTGGACATATAGGATGAGAGGAAGCAGTGGCAGGGGTTGGAACTGGGTGGCTGACTGAGGTCAATTCATGAAAGGTCCTCAATGTTATGCGTGGGGGATTGGAATGTACCCTTTGGAGCAGGGCCATTATTGGTTTTATAATAGGATTAGACTGATATTTTAGAAAGATCATTCTGGGACCAGAATAGAGAATAGGTTGGTAGGGATACAGGCCGTGGAACCAGTTAGGGGGTTTCTGCAATGCACCAGGCAAAGGATTATGAGGGTATGAACTGATGAGAATGTGGAACTGGAGGAATTAATAATATATGGGTGAAGGGAGATATATACCTGGATGAAGAGCTCTAGGAGAAAGACTCCTAAAACTTGGAATTGGGTGTGGAGGTGAGAGGATGCTGATAGACACTCCTCCTTGAGTCTCTCACACTCCTAAATGTCTTGGAATACCAAGAATGCAAGGCCCTGACTGCTCTTTTCTTGGGCAATTTCTCCAAGTTGTTTATAGCAAGGCCATCTTGAGCAATGAGGTACTGTCTCCCTTTGGGACCAAGAGCCGGTTTGCTTACTGCTTATTATAAAAGCAATGGGTTCCCTGGGCTCATTGTTCCTCAGCTGTGACACACACCCCTGGTGTGTGCAGTATTTAGCCGGGCCCTCTGCATCAGTCCTGTGGGACAAGGTGGGCAGGAGAACCAACACAAACATGGTTGCTTGCTGTGCTGTGAATAATCAAGTTCTTTGTCTCTGACCCAAGAATCTCGTGTCTTTTACTGTGAATCTGTAACGTCTTCTATGCTGTAAGTAACAGGCTAGGTCATTGGCTTATAAATCAGGAAAAACCAAATCTCAGACCTGACAGGGAGAAGAAAGATTTCCGGCTTGAAAGATTTGGTGTAAAGTGGTGTCTTTCACCTGGGGAAAGAACTGGTCTGTATGAGCAATATAGTGAGGTCAGTGTTATTGATGTTGATTGTATTTTACTGCCAACTAGGTATGGTCCTTAAATAGGTACAGTTGACCCTTGAACAATGAGGGGGTAAGGGGTGCTGACCCCCAACACAGTAAAAAATCCATGTATAAGTGTAGCTTAAAACCTGTGTTGTTCAAGGTCAACTGTATTGGTAGCAGGAGCTCACAGACCTGTTGGTAAATCTGCCCCTAACTGAAGCAGGAACAGAAATCCCCAGAGACCTTAATCACACACCCAGTATGATATTCAGCTTTGCATTCTCAATCCTTTTTCTATTAGTGCCTCCCCAGAGTGCAGGTGGGAAATAAACTTCTTAGGAGAACCTGAGACACCAGAGTAATTAGATGAGATTATGCATTTTAATTATTTGGTTAAATGTGCAGCATTATCCAGTAGCTGTAACTCTAGGATGGAAATCTGTTTGTTGTTGTTGTTGTTTTTCGAAACTCCTCAATGATTATCCTCTTCTCTCTCATTCCTGGTAGTTTTAGCAGAAAACCAGTGATAGAAGAAAAAAGGCACTTCAGGTAAGAAAGAGGAGGAATGACAGTAGTGGAAAGAACAAATTTTAAGACATTTTCACTATAGGTAGGGACTCCGTGTCTATTGCCAGCCTTGTCCACACAGCAAGGGCTCAATACAAGTTTTTGAAAAAAATACTTCATTTTTTTTCCTCCATTACACTATCCTAAATAATTTATGTTCATATTTTTGATAACTAAAATTTTAATACTTTTCTTCTTTAAGGCATGATGCAACTGTTAAAATAGCTCTAGTCACTTACTTGGTCATTCAAAAGTTGATGGTTTAGGGGTGTCCAGGTACTCATTTTTGTCTGCATTTTGGGACCATCTGTGCTTTTTGGAGGTGCAAATGCCATCATGAAATAACTGGATATTCTTCCATAAGAAAAACTATACCTATCAGAAGAAATTAATAACATAATCTTTAGAATATTAAAAATGCTAATATCACACAATCTTTTAGATTTTGAGAGAGGAAATTGGGGGAAAGAACATTTATTGGAAGCACTTTATATTCAGGCACTTTATATGTATGCTCAATTGAAACCCATAATAATTGGGTGAAGTGGTAGGTTTTAGCTCATTTTATAGGTGAAGAAAATGAAGCTCATTGAAGTTACATGCCCTGCCCAAGGTTGTTATATAGACAGTAAGTGGTGGAACTGGAAATCAGACCCAGGTCTGTTTAACTCTACTTTATTTTCATTGGACCATGCAGGTCAATCCAGAATCACTCCTAACTAAGAACAAGTCATATTGGCCAGAAAAAAGTATTTTAATTTATAAAATCATAGTGAAATATAAAACACTCCATCCTTGCCCCTTGTGACTTTCTTCCTCCCCTCATAACTTTCTGAAATCTAAGTAACAAGGGTTCTAGCTTGATACCATATTTAAATTGTAGAATGATGTAATGTACAAAGCCAAGCCTTTAGAGATGGACAGGTTTGGTTTTATTGGGGAAAATGTGCTATTTTCAGATACCAAGTATGTCTGCCTTTGTTTGATTAAAGCACTATAATTTCCATGAGGAATTACTTTTCTCTCAATGTTTAGAGTTTTCTGGGTTGGTTAATCAAGATGGCCTCCCCTTCCCTGGCCAACAGGTGGTCACAGGCTGAGCTAGGCCAGCTGGACTGACAGTGGCTTATCCTTACTTTACAGCTAAGGTGGTCATACAAAGTAGCACTGGTGCTCTGTTAAGTTGTTCCTGCTGCCTCACCGTTCAGAAGACTCTTGTCCTTTATTGTCCATTTTCTGATCCTCCTGATATCCTTGCAATAAATTTCTTCTTTTGCTTACTACATTAACTAGAATCTATTTCTGTGGTTTACAACCATTTTTTTTTTTTTACCTCATACATATTTGATCCTGGCTCTAAAACTTAGTAGCTGTATAATTTTTAGCAATTATTGAATCTGTCTGAGTTTCAGTTTCCTCATTTGTAAAATAAGAATGTATATATCTACCCTTAACTGCTGCTATGAAGATCAGAGAATAAGGGCCCCTGACACATAGGTGGCCTCAATAAATAGCAATTTCCTTGCAGCCTTTCTTAGAACTTTCCATCATTCACAGAGTGCCTCAATACCTGCCCTTTAGAGAGCCATAACACAAAATTTTAAGATGGAAAACATTGAAAACAGATTTATGGTAGCTTCCATATTTACTCTCAGTGTTTTTGCCTTCCTTCCTCTCTGCAGATGGGTTTCATATTGGAAGACAGTCATGATGCCTGAGGGGACCAGGGCTTGCCTGCCTGTTTTATTGGTTCTAAAAATTACTGTACAGTAGGCGGCTTGTTAGCTCAGTTGGTTAGAGCATGGTGCTCATGGCACCAAGGTTGCCAGTTCGATCCCCACATGGGCCACTGAGTTGCACCCTCCACAACTAGATTGAAGCAACTACTTGACTTGATGGGTCCTGGAAAAACACAGTGTTCCCAATAAAAATTAAATAAATACATAAATACATAAATAAATAAAAATAAAAATTACTGTACAGCAGCAAATATTGGACAATTAAAAAAAACAACAACATTAGTTTTTGGCTGATATGGTATTCCGCCAAATGCTAGATCTGAAATCTTTGAGGCTTTCACTTGACATGTATTATTGTCTCTCAGGTTTAAGTTATAGCAGAAGATAAAGCCAATGTTTTAAAACCTCAGTGGCATCATTAGTTAATACTTTCTCTCAGTTACCTGTTACCACAATTTCACTGGAATAAATGGGGCTCAGATTAGCCCTCACGTTCTTCTCAGCCCCTTAACAGCTAAATATCTGAGTCACGCATGTTTAGCTAAGTTGCAAAAGGCATAAGAAATGATTTCATTACAGTATTATTAATTGGCAGCTATGAAAGTACATGTTAGCAGGCAAATTATAGATACAAAGCATGGTTACTGAGTCTAGATCTGCCCAGTTTAAAATTACCCATTTCTTATTTTTGTTATTTGTTTACATTTTGACCTTTCTTCTCATTAAACCAGTTGTTTTTAAATCTTTTTTTGAGGGCCAAATAACTCTTTGAGAATGTGATGAAAGCTATGAATCTCTTCCCTAGAAAAATGCACATGAACATAAAATTTTGCTTACTCAAGATTAAAAACTCCTGCTGTAAGCTGAGAAACTCTCTTCCCAGTTTGTGCAGGAAACAAGCTAGGCAAAATTTTTGAATTAGGACAAAGGAGCTTTTCTAGGGCCTCCCCAAGGACCTGCACTGGTTGTTTTACTTTTTCTGGTTCCTCAGAGCTAGAATTTTTTTTCTTTTTCTTTAAAAAAAAACTTTTATAGGAGAACAGTGTGTTTTTCCAGGACCCATCAGCTCCAAGTCAAGCCATTGTTTTCAATCTAGTTGTGGAGGGAGCAGCTCACTGGCTCATGTGGGAATCAAACCGGCAACCTTGGTGTTATGAGCCCACGCTCTAACCACCTGACCCAACTGGCTTCCCCAAGAAATTTTTTGAATTAGGCTTTCTTCAAATCAACTTGAGGAAAGTTTTGTTTTCAGGACATGGGCCTAGTCAGGAGAAACACCCATCTTGGTAATACGGTCCTGCTGAAACATGCACATGGGGTATCCTGCCCTGTCTTTTGTCATTATCTTTTCACAATTTTTTCTCCCTTCCTCTGTTCCAGAAGATGGACAGTGTGCATATCGCACGCACATGCATGTTCATGGTACAGACCACTCAGGACTATTCTAAAGACATACGCTTTTATATAACATACACAAAAATAATTGCCCCCACTTGATCAATAAGACAAAGTAAGTTGTCTTCCCTCCTTCCATATATAAAGCTTGCTGTTGCTTTTTTGTGACCTCTTTTCTCTTTATTGGCTGTTCCTGAATGTTCATCTTTAATATTTCTTTGGATAAAAAGGGTGAAGGAAGGCCTATGGCCCTAGCCCCAAAAGTATGGTTCTAGTTCCATGTTTAATAGCAAGGATGGGTCCTCTGGTAAAGTTCCAGCGGCCACACATCTTCACAATATCACCATTATTCAACTTTACTAAGGATTGGTCTCTGCTTTAATGGAGCTTACAGTCTACTGTTAGAGAGGTTGTTTTTTTTTAACAAAACAAAAAAAATATATATATATATTTAAGGCGTGCAAAGTGATGTTTTGATATATGTATACATTGTGAAATGATTACCACAAACTACTTAACATATCCATCACCTCCTATATTTACCACTTGTGTGTGTGTGTGTGTGTGTGTGTGTGTGTGTTTAGAACACCTGAGATTTACCCTCTTAACAAATTTCAAGTATATATTATTAATAGTCACCATGCGGTTCATTAGCTTTCCAGAACTTATTCATCGTTTAACTGAACATTTGCACCCTTTCACCAATATCTCCCCTTTTGCCCCAGCCCCCCAGCCTCTGGTAACCACCATTCTTCTTAGGAAAGTACTTATTAAAGGACCAGGTGATCGTGTCACTTTTCAGCTCAAAAACCTTCAGAGGCTCCCTAATGGCTACCAAATATTTAGACTCAGCATGCAAGTCTAGGTCCACTAAGAATTTGCCTCAATCTACCTCTTCAGCTTCATCTCCTTGTCTATCCCTTTATACATGATCTGCCCAGATACACTGAACTTCCCAACACTTAGAGAAAATAATACAAAACTCTGTTTCTTTGCTTATGTGCTTTTCTGATGTTGCTCACCTGAATCCTAATTTCATAAACATAATAGGTACTCAGTTGATTCTGTTAAACCAACTGAATGAATGAATTCGACAGTGGAGGGGAGTGGTTTAAGGATTAAAACTAGTGAAAATGTAGGGTGAAGCTCGGAACATTATGAATTGAGTCCTAGGATTATACTAAGGATTATCGGATTTTTATTTGGAGTTTACAGAGCAGAATAGGATTGAGTTTCTCTGCTAACACAGCTCACCCACTGAAAACTGCAGCATCATTTGAGAAGAGGACCTCAGATATTATCAAGTAAATATCAGGCAATAGGGTATGGTTAGATTTAAATACGAATTTATCTTGTAGTCAACTAGTTGGAAAGAAAGCAAAAACTATAATAAAAGAGCTACTGTTTGATAGGTATAGAAATAATTATTTGTTAGTTAATTTCATAAGTATGTAGCATCTGGCACTTTAACTGCAGCTGAAACGGAGCAAAATGTTACCTCCAGGAACCACCGACAAGGCATGTGAGAGGCCCAAGAGGACCTGAGAGTGGAGCTCTCAAAAGTCTTCCTCTTTTTCATGCACTACCCACTGCCTCACCTCTTTTAGCTCGTCTCCCTCTTCAAGCTTCAAGCGCTGGTGTTGCCATAGTTGCTTTTTCTTTGACTCTGCCCAGCCCCCATCCCTCTAGCTTCCAGTAGTCCAATCACCATCTATAAATCCTTTCGCTGATATCCGGGATCTCTTAGGCAACAATGTGTGGTCTCTTGATTGGCCAGGAGATCCAGGAGGGCTGGCTCCAAAATTGGGCACACGGATAAAATGAAAAAGTGTGAGCGCCAATAAGGTGGGAGGAGCTGCAATCTCCCAATATAATGCTGGAACGAAGATACAGCCAATCCTGAAACAAGCAACATTGAGAGCCCTCATTCAAGGCATATTTGTGTTCCAAATCAGGCCAATCTACTGAGCATGCCCAATTATATTGCTCTGGTCCGAAAGCTCCGAAACGTAAACTCCACTTTTCCAGGTTTTAAGAGTGGCCAACAGGTAAAAGACGGAGGAAAAAGAATTCGCAACTGGTTCAGTGAAAGAATAGCACCTGCAACAGGAAGTGGAAGGACCTGGGAAAATTGTCCAACAGACAAACTCACAAATGCTTCAACATGAATTTTAATTGATCGGATTAAGAAATTCAGACCGACAGATACACCGTGAAACCAGTAGATGGCATGCCTTAATAAGAATAACTCCAAATGTTACAATCCGGTCTAATTTAATTAAATTTATTGAACTCCCCCTCCCCCCATGTAATAAGGGATGAAGTGAGAATACAAAGATAAAAACTCTAATGAGGGAGACTGGAAAATACAATGTGCAAATAACTAATGTAAGCACACAGTGACAGCTGCTGTGATAGGACTATAAACAATTGCTGAAGAATAACCAAAAATTCAAAATTCCAGTCGGAGCTTCTTTGGCAAATGTAAAGCAGTTCGTATAGGCAGCAGCTCACACACATACAAAAAAACCCCCAAAATATTTCCTCACTAATATATACATATTATATATATATATATGTATATATACATACTCTCCTCCAACTTAAAAAAGCTTAAGTTGGAGGAGAGTATATTCATATCTATTCATAGTTTTGAAATGGGCAGCATTTATATATCTCCAATTTAAAAAGAAAAATAAATGTGAAGCTCATAGAAATTGTTGATTTCCTTGAGTTAACAAAGGATCTGCAAGTGGCCAAACTGAAATTAGAACCTAGGTTGTCCAATTCCAGCCTAGTGGCTTTTCCACATGACCAGGTTGTATGTAAATGAATAAACAAAGCCTTTGGTTGGAGGGGAGGGGGCTGGAGGAGGTATGTAGATGCAACACTAAATTACCACGTATCACCAGTTAACATTTATGGTTTCAAAACGGGTTCATCCAGAAAGAGACCAGTTTCAGCAACATGCTGTAAGAGTGCTGTGTCTCTCTGTGAAGTTTCCGCTCATTAAAGCCTTTTCTATTGGTGGTTACAACACGTAATGAAAGAGATGGGATAAAAGAGAGCATCACACTTTATCCCTGTTGGATTTAAATATTTTTATCCCTGAAAATAAGGTCCCTTTTGTCTATCCTCTCAACCAGCACCCTCTGGGCCTCCTGTTGTCCAGCACCTCATCAGTCTGACTGCTGACCCCCGCCCCCCATTATCCCCTAGTCTGAATGACACCATTCAAGCTGTGTTCATAGAGAGCACACCAGCTTGGTGTGCGCGATATTTCAACGTTACTTTTAAATAAAACATTTCAAACATAAAGAGAAGTTTAGAGGTTTGCATAAGAAAAACCATTGTATCCCCACTGAAATTTTTAAAAACATTAACATTTTTGCTTCATCTGGGTGATTAATAGTTGAAGCCCCTTTTGTACACTTCCCATATCTCATTCCCCTCCCTGCTTATCCAGAGGCAACCCCTGTCATGAAATTGGTGTTTAACTTACTTGTCCATTTTTTATGCTTATTATATGTACATGTTTGACCTCATAAGCAATATGGCTAGGTGTTCTTAAAGAGGTATAATAATTTACATATATTGTAGTTTGCTTTTTTCACTCAGTGTTTTATTTCTGAGATTTAATCATGTTGATACGGCTGTGATTTCTACATCATTCCCACCTCCCCATGTGATCTATATGTCCTACACCTGACAGTTTCCACAGGATGCTGTGTAAATTGCATACAAATGTATCTAGCTGCAGATCTCTAGAGGCTCTGCAAGTACAAGGAATCTGGAAATACAGAGGGTACCAAAAAAATGTATACACATTTTAAGAAAGGAAAAAACTGTATTAAAATTGTAATACTCAATATATACCGATAACAAAAGATGAATACAAGTCACGTGTATACATTTTTTGGCACCCCCGGTATATAAAGCAGGCACACAGTTTTTCACAAACAATATTTGCCTCCTCACACACGCTCAGTAAAGGCAGTGTTGGCTCCACAGGACACAAACTGTGTTGCTTAGAACCAGCCTAAGGATCAACATTACTTAAAAAAAAAAAAAAAGGTACTGCGCAAGTATTTATTAGGAAAATTGAAAACGTCACTTTAGATCTCATTTATTATGCTTTTTCCCATAGCTCACCTTCTGATGTTAAACTATATTTATGGCTGCCTAGGCTTAATACTCAATATTTAACATTTATTGAGCACCTTTTAAAAATTGTGGTCAACTACGTAACATACAATTTACTATCTTAACCATTTTTAGGTGTATAGTTGAGTAGTGTTAAGTACATTCACATTGTTGGGCCACAGGATCAATATTACTTGAAGTCCTGTGTGTTACCAACAGAACAAAATGATGCCTCTTCTGAAGTCTAGGTTGAAAAGGGACAAAAAGGAAGAGAAAGAAAGGTAGGAAAAACAGTGTGGTGAAAAAGAACAGCTTTGGCCATGAATGAACCTAGGCTGCCACGAAAACGCTGCTATCACTTTAGGTAAGTCATTTAATCTTCCCAGGTGTTCTTTTCCTTGTTTGTAAAATGAGAGGTTTTACACTCACTGGGTTTAGATAATCTCTAAGGACGTTTTCAGCCCTAAAATTGTTTATGTAGAAAAGGAAGGGAAACATGCCCTGAAAAGATGGGGAATGCCACCAATAACCAACCACAAGCTCCACCTGTTCACTAAGGTCTTGGCAAAGAGGATGTACGGGTAGACTGTTCTTGGGTAGGTCTCCTATCTGCTCTGTTGTCTCAGCATGGCACTCTGAAACAGGCCAGTTGCCTATTACTTGCACCTCAGCACTCTTGACCAGACTCTCGACCACCTTCAATGCCCGGGTCCGGCGGTGGGCACACTGGTTCTCAGAACAGGTTTTGGCGGTTTTGCAGTAATAGCATCAGCGGCTGGAGGAATGAGAATCGCTACGCTGTCTCAGGAGGGATAGGAGGGAAGGCTTTGCAGAGTGCTGAGCACATTTAAGAAAAACGCTTCCAGCGCTAGGAACGACTCCGCTGGGGCAGGACAGTGCAAGGCGTCTCACAGAACGCGAGGTAGAGAACAACGAAACGCTCTGGACCGGCCCCCGCGCAGCTGGGCTCAAAATGGGAGCGCTCAGCCGAGCCTTCGCAGCGCGCCTGCGCCGTGCGTGCGCGCGCTTGCTCGCTCGCTCGTTCCCCGGGCCGCGCGCCCCGGCGCTCGTGAAAGCTCGCGGTCGCTCCGAGGCGCGCGCTGGCGGTCCTTGCTCCCACCTTTTACCTGAGGGACCCGTGGCGGTCCCTGGCCGGCGCTGCAGCCCCCTTGGAGCCGGGTCCTGCGGTGTGAGGTGAGTACGGACGCGTGCGGTCTCCCGGCTGGGTTAGCGGGCAGAGGGGGGGGGGCGGAAGGGGGGCGTCGGAGGGGCTTCTCGGGATCGACAGCGGGCAGAGGGGGTGCGGAGGAGCCGAATCGGGGGCTGAGGTGGGCAGATGCCCGGGGAGATGATTAACCCTCTCTGTCCTCCGCCCGCGCTGGGCAACCTGTGCGAGTGTGGATCGCGGCTCCCTCTCCCCCACCCCCGGCCCAAAGCCTTCTCCGGGGAACGTGCCGGGAGCCCGCTGCTTTGGTCGGCGCCGCGGGGGCGTGTGGCGCTTCCCCGCCAGCCGGGAGCGTGGGTGGAGGACGCGTCGGCTGCCAGCCGGGGGAGGACAATGCACCCGGGCTCCAGCGCCCCGGGCCCTTGGGGCCGTCCCGAGCCCCACGTTAGAATTGCCACCTGCCCGGACGTCGTTTTAGCATTTAGCCGACTGCTTACTTCCAAAGCCTAAAAGTTGGCCCCTCCATCCCATCAGTTTGCAAAGTCGGCTCTCCCTGCCGAACGCTTCCCCTCGCTGCCCCCCTTTTATGCTCGGTGTGTTTGCCATGGGTGTTGCTGGGTAATTAGTCGATGGCCTCTGAAATAAAGGGGGCTGCTACAATATTTCAAGACACTGAAACATCTTTCTGGAGGCTTTGTAAATCTCACGAGTCCTGGAGTGAGGTGCCTCCTCTGTGTTTTTTTTTTTTTTTTGAGAACAAAGGCGCATGGCATTAATTTAGGTATAGAAGTGGACTTGAAGTTGAAAAATATCTACCCTATTAAAAGAGGCCCAGTTTTTTTGCCCAGGAGAAATGAACTATTGAATTTTGGTTGCCTTCTGGTGTTAAGGCAGGTTGCCGCAGCAGAGCAGACCGGTAGCTCAATAAATGACTGCTTCATAAAAGTAGTCAAACAAAATCTTATTTTGCGAAAGTAGTTTGGATAGGCCCCATGATGTTCCTTTATGCGAAATGGGTCGCTTTGCAAAGCCAAGGAGACAAAGACCTGCTGATATTGGGGGATGTTACCTCCCTCCTTGGACATCTTTTTAGCCGTTAGTGGTGTGCTGACAGTCTAAGGAATAGGTAAATACTTAGTTCTGTTATTAAGAAGCAATTACTCCTTAAGATAATGCTTTCCATCCGTACTTTTAAGCAAATCAATACTATCTTTTTCCACCAGGAAAAAAAAGAAAGAAAGAAAGCATTTATTTGAACTACCAAAACATAACATAAAGGTAAAAAGATTCAGAGTTAGGGAAAGTAGTGTAGAGGTGTTAAAAGCTTAATTGGGTGGGCTTGGAAGGATAGAGCTGAAGATAAAATATAATTAAGATGCTGCCCTTCTCTTACCATGTTGCCTTTTATTTAGTGAATAATGTGCCTCCTCACCAGATGCTTTGGAACTGTCTGCAAAACAAGTAATAAAACCTACCACCCTACCTTTTCTTTCCACCTACTTTTTTTTCTCATTCAGTACTAATATTATCTACCTTCACTTCTCTCCTAAATTTATAACAGTGTCCTATTAATAGAAAGAGAAGAAGAAAGGTCTATAAACTCTTTAGTTCCTTTCCTAATCTTGGCTACTACATTCCCTTAGGCTTTATTTTGTGCTTTGAACATTTAAGTGGGTTTTTCTTGGGAGTTCCATGATGTTGGAAGTAGGGAGGGTTAAGGGGAATTTAATAGTAAAGTGCACATTCTTTCTTTGTATAGTACAATGTGAAAGCTTTATCATTGGGTAAGGAGATAGGAGTTTTTAACTCACAATAAGTCCTCTGTTTCCCACATGACAGGAAAAAAATATCTCTACCCAACTTACATTTCGTATTAGTTTGTTAGTAAAACTGTAAGATTTTATACTCAAAACTTATTCTGAGCATATTAGTTTGTTGATGTTAGACTGCTATTGATTTTATTTTCTTTAGGAGACAGGTGGTAGGAAATAGCTCCTACCGCATCTTTCTTTGCCTTCTTTCACAGAAGAGAATGATGTTGGCCTCAAGTTTTTTTTAATCCTGAAAACTCTAGAATTATAGCTGTTTACAGCTGCAGCTGCCCACAAAAAGAGTAATAAGCGCAAATAAAAAGAATGGTTTTGAAAATACATACTGGAGAAATTACTTAGTATAGATTTAGGAAAAGATGTGCTACAGGGTTTGTGGAGAGAAATGAAAACTTTTTTAATAGTGGCATTTCCATAAATGTTTGAAAAGTAACAGCTCTTTACTGGCTAGGAAGGAGTTTTAACTGTGTGTCAAAAATGACTTCTCTTTGCTTTCCAATTCATTATGCTGAGAAGTATTGACGGTTTTGTTGGATCCAAGGAGTGCATTGCAAATGAAGTTTGATATGCATATAAGTAGGCTAGTGGGCTTTAAAAAAAAAACAAACCCAAATACTGGTCCCAAATTTTATCTTACTGAAATAGTTTTATTGTCAAAAGTTTCAAACCATACAACCTTGCTAAGGGAAAAAAATCAGGGGCTTGATATTGGAGAATTTGCTGATGAACAGATTTTAATTGGAAAGGGAAGCTGGGTTGGAATTTCAGCCTGATTTTTTTTTTTTTAGTCTAGACTGGCCATCTTTTAGCTTTCCAGCTTTGGTTCTGCTTTCTTTAGTCTTAAAAATAATTTATAATTTGTAAAACGGGCTGGATTTTGATGTCCACCATCCATTTTAATTATAAACCTAGATGTATTTGTTTTTCCTGTTTTTGTTTGGTTTTTTTTTTTAACTCTTATCACTCAGCACATTGGAATATTAGGCTATTTGTTATAATCAGTAGATAAAAAGATCGACTAAAAATTAGAGAGAAAGTAAGAAAGATCAGAAAAGAGATGCTCTGAGATTAATAGTAATCAAAGTCCTATGAATTAAATATGAAGCTATATTAACTTCCTTTTAGCAAGAAGGAGGCAATATATTCAGAGTGAATTTATTTTTTAAATAATAAGATGTGGAAAACAAAAGGCCAAAAACCACATGGGTTTTAGGAAAAGGAATGTAATACTTAGAGCAGTGAGTATGTTCTGAGTGTTTATTTTGTCTCGCTAACAAGGCAATAATTTCCTTAAGAGAAGAAACTCCGTTAGTATAGTCTTTGCTAATTCTTGCAATGTATTAGAAAACTACTCTGAAAGAAGACAAAGAATATCCCTTCTGTTTCCACTGTAGAGCCACTGTATGTGAGATGGTATTTCTGAATTGAAAATGCAAAATGTTGTCTACATTTGTAGAGTGTCAAGAAAATTAAGTGTAAACTAAGAATAATGAAAGGGATCACTTTCTGTACAGAAAATGTGAATTGGAGTAGAATTGCTGAACATACTCTTTTGTTTTAGGATCCACTTGACAAGCCCTCAGGACCCACTTTTGTTACTGTTTCCTCTGGGATTCAGCCTGATTTCCTCTTCACAGTTGCCACCTCCTGCTTTCCCCCCTGAGTTCACAGGGTCTGGCTTTGCAACCAGCCTGGGAAGAAAGCCTTCCAGGATTGAATCCTCTTCCCCTTTATTGCTGTCCTTTAGGACAAATACTGATTTTATTTTAAGGGCTCTTACTTTTTATCATCAAAAGAAAACTGGTAATTGGAGAATATTAGATTCCTGATGTTAGACATTCATAAGAATTAAAATGTAGGTTTAAATGTATCTAGTCCTTTTTGTTTTCTGATGGAATGATAATCAAGTAACTTAATCTGAAATCAGTTTTCCAAATATCTTATATTGCTCTATGGAGAAGTGTGTGTGCCTGTTTTCCCACAGGTATGGTATGAATAACTGTTGCCATATCACTCTTTTTGCTGTCCCCTGGCCCCTGAAGCTGTTCACTCCAGTTACCTTAAACGAGCAGGTCCCTTTATCCAGTTGAAATTCTACAGATTCCTGTAGTAAAAAACATAGTATCAATAAGAATGCCAAAACAACTGTTAATCTTTATTTAATGAGTTACTATGTTTTGATTGGATCTCTTTGGGTCCAAAATCTTCTCTGTGTCCTGCATGTCTTACAGCTTCAACTTACAGCTTTCCCCCACCTTTCGAAAAATAAGTTTTGCTACTTAACACTCACGTGATCTTGATTAGAAGCAGGTATTTCATTATGTTATTGAAAAGTGATTTGGAGTATATATCAAAAATTTTTTTAAATGTGTGTATACCATTTGATTCAGCTGATAGATGACCTGATTTTTTTTTCAATATTGAAAATCACTTGACTCATTAAATTGTCACTTTTTTATTTTATTACTACCTACAGTAGGGTAGTAGTTTGTCCCTTGTTTTGTTGCTTAATTATCAGCCAATAGATCAGTGATTCAACTAATATTTATTCTTGTCAGCTAGTTAGCACACATTTATAGATTTAACAGATTTAATTTATTTCATACACAAAAGAATGTACCATCGGTTCTTTTATAAAATCTCACAGCATTTATAATATTTTTAAATAATTGAAATAGTTCTATGTACAGTTTTGACAAAAATGGGATATATATGCTGTTTTGTAAATTAGCTTATTTTTTGTTTTGTAAATTTACTTATTGTATTGTTACTGTCTTGCCATGTCAATAAATACAGACGTTGCTCATCATTTTTAGTGACTATATATTCTTCCATTATGTGATTATACCACAGTTTAATCCCTGACTGGTAGACTTTTGTGTTTCCTGTTTTTTTTATTTTATAAACAGTATTTCAGTAGCATTTTGGTTATGCATCATGTGTACTTGTGTATTTAGAATAAATTATAGAATAGATTTGCTGGATCAAATTGTGCACATTTTAAGGGCTTTTGATGTAAGTAGCCATTTTTTGAAATACCAACTACAATAGTTTACATTCCCACCAATAAATAGTATTTGAAAATATTGGAATGTTGACAATGTTCTATTCCCTGCACCCTCTCCTATACTGTGTTCTATCATTGTTATTTTGCCTATCAGATTGGCAAATATGGTATTCTCTCATATTTGAATTTTTTTGCTTATTAGTCAAATTGAATATCTTTTCATGTGTTGGCTAGTTGTATTCCTTTGGTAAATTCATGTTCCTTTCCCATCTTTCTATTAAAGTGTTATTCTTTATCTGCTTTTTATTTTTTAAGTTCATTTTATGTATTTTGCTTAGCATATAATTATATTCAAATATACCTATATTCTTTTATTCTATTCTAGGATAGCATTTCTCAAAACATGACTTATGGACCTGTAACAGACTTGTAACAGAGATAATTGTTAGAATGTACGTCATTCTACAGAGATTCACATTTCTTAGACCTGTGGGGGGAATCCATGAATCTGCTACACATTAAAAATAGAGAACCTCTGATTTGGAGGACATATAAATTCTTTAAGATTTTTGCTGTTTTTTTTTTTTCCTTTTTGTCTCACTGCATTCTACGTTTTTCTTATTTATTTTAGTAATGATAAACTACAATCTTGATATGTTAAGATTATTGTCCTAGCCCAGCCTAATGTGATAGATTTTACAAAAGTGTTTTGATACATGGTATATATGGTAATATGGATGTCTAGGGCATAAAGGAAGCTTATAAGATGGTGGGAAGCTTCACTTGCAAATGAGGCAAAAGGAATAATTGAGAGGAAATCAGGTAAAATAGATGGAGTAGGCCAAAGTGTAAGGGTGTGTCTCATCTATTGGGTTGTTGGAAAAGTCATGATGCATTTTTGCAACAAAAACCAAAAAATACATCATGACTTTTCCGGCAACCCAGTAGTTTAAAGACCCAATGAGATATTGCTCAGTTTCTTCTCCAAGGTTTATTATTATTATTTTTTAATTTATTTTTATTTTTTTGGGGAACTGGACCCGCAACACTGTTGCTCAGAGCTTGCACTCTTGAGCGAGCTCTTAACCAACTGAGCCACTTGGCCGGCCCTCTTCTCCAAGGTTTAGATGGTAGTCTTCTTTAAACCGTAAAATTGAAATCCATCACGGCTTGAAAAAATAGATTTGTCCAGTGAAATATTTGAAATTATTACTATATACATATTTAATAGGGAGCAATATTCCCTTTAATTTTTTTAGTTGCAAGCAGATGAACATGCTGCATAAGCAACAAACTACAAAGACTGAACTTAAGTGGATGTTTTAAATGCTGTAACCAAATAAAGCTTTCAGTAGGTATTTGACACATTGTTAATGATATGCATAATTGTTACTGTGTTGCATGGTAATTTTGCTTAAATATAAATGACTGTTTAATATCAGTTTTCTGTAGCCAGACTTCCCCTTTCTGGGGCCAGCTTGAAGGTGGGAAAAAATATGGCAGGCCAAGAAGCTTTTGCAAAGATTTTTGGTTTAGAGATTTCCGTATAGAGAGATTAGGTATTTGCACAGGGGTTGCTCATAACTTTTAGTGCTCCTAATTCTAGAGGCCACATATTTTCCCTTTACCTTCTACTACTTAAGACCATCTACTGGTAGGAAAAATTGGGAAGATGTCCATTGCTTTACTTTCTCCAAATAATTTTTCTGCCTAGTAACTAAAGCTTGGGATGCAGAGGTCCCAATCACTGTCAGTGAACAAAGGACAGTTTCTTGCCCTGCTTAAGCCAGACCAGTTCCAGGTCTCAAGGTCTAAGCTTTCTTGGGCCCTAGTATTTGAGTTGTCTTACTAATCTCTCAGAATTTCTGAAGCTGAATTTCTCATGTTTTCCCAAACTAGACTCTACAACAAACACAGAAATATCCAATGCATATGAAACAAAAGGACATAAACGCAAATTGACATCATCACTAAACCAAATGAAAGTATGATAACTTAGAATATGCTTTTTTCCTACCAGACTTGCCTTCCACTCCACCCAAACTCTCCCAGACCCAAAGGTGATACATATTTTTGCCCCTAGAAAAGTAGGGACAAGTCAAAGATTCTAAACTTAGTGGAAACTATAACTGGGAATCATTCCTATTCCTGCTGTGACTTTCTAGGGATGATTTCTATTCTCTGCAGCCTGGATGTATGTAATGAAACATTTGTTGATCAAATATTTCTACATCTATCTTTGATTTACCATTTATAGAATACTTTTACATATATTATCTCATAATTCACTCATATATCATCCTTGTTAGAGAAGTAATATTTTCAGGAAGAAAAATTCTGAGTTCAGAGAAGTTAAATGAAATGTTTCCATTCACACAGCTACTAAGAGGCTTGAAATCCATATCTTTTTTATTCATTTATATTTCATCTCTTCCACAGATACTTTCTACCAAATCAATTAATGTGAAATGTCCTATTAATGATTAAAACACATACATTTTAAATTCAATAGCTTAGATTATAAATATGGCAGCTATTTAAAATTTAGGACAACAGCATAAAAAATTTTCAAAATAGATAAATTATATCTTGTAATAAATGAAAAATTGCTGTCATAGACAAAATAAACCATATGTTATATAAACTGAGGGAAGAAAATTTGCCTTTAAATGCCGTTTAAGAATTGTCTTAGTGTCTATAGCTAATGAATGATAAGGTAGAAAAACTAGACTATGTCTTTATGAAATACCTATGTATTTTTATCAAAGTTTTCTCTATTTCTCTGTTTTCTTTATTTCTCTTCCTTATAGTTCATTGTTAATGTATAAATGCAACTGATTTTTGTATATTGATTTTATATCCTGCAACATTACTGAGCTCATCAAAGATTTTATATCAAGTCCACAATATTTTGAGAGGAAATGACTAATTTCTCCCATTTTTAAAAAAAATACTTTTCAGATATTTCAATCAAAGGAAGAAATAGCACTTCTCCTAAGATGGAATCTATTGTTTGGGAATGTGGTTGATCAACTTGATATGTTGGCCAAATGTGCCCTATGTAATAAAATGAAAAGAAGAGACAAGATGATGTCATTTTCCCGTATTGTGAAACCAAAAACAAATGTCTTTTGTGAGACCAAGCTAACAAACCTCTGACGGTGCAAAGAGTATTTAACTGTTTGAAGAACTTAACAGTAAGATCTAGAAGAAGTACCTCCTCAAGCTGAGACCTGCAGGTGTATAAAGATCTAAAATATTGAGTAGGCCTGATCATCCGAATCTCATTCAGATCAAGAAGGATGGCTATGAGTTGGATCGTCTTCTATCTTTGGCCCTTGACTATGTTTGTGGGGCATATAGGTGGGCACAGTTTGTTCTCTTGTGAACCAATTACCTTGAGGATGTGCCAAGATTTGCCTTATAATACTACCTTCATGCCTAATCTTCTGAATCATTATGACCAACAGACAGCAGCTTTAGCAATGGAGGTAAGACTTGATCTATTCTTTGCCATCTCTTAAAAAATGATTCTTATATTGCCCTGTTTACTAATCTAATGGATATGTCTGATAAACTACAAGGAAAAATATGTTATTTTTTACTATATCTTGTACATTAAAAAGATATTTAGGTTCAAAACAGATTGAAGAATTCATGTTGGGGGATGTTACTTATTTTTTTAGGCATCATACTTTTACAAAGAAATTTGAAACACTGGAACATGGGAGATAATAGACATTCAGAAGTTTAAAATTGTCCAAGTTATGATATGACTACATCTTTTTTGTAATTTGGCTGATAATAAAACTTTAGATAAAGAGCAGAATATAATAGTATTCATAATTCAGTCATTAAGTATTGAAAGTAACGTAATTTTGAAAAATGAGGTCTTTTGTTCAGCCTTTAGTCTGGTGATTTAAAGTATTTGAATTTTATTAAATGCTTAAAATGATTTACTGGTCTTACTATGTTTACATAAGTTTATTATTATTTTTTTAAGAACAGTAACTCCCAAGCAATGAAAAAGTTTTTGTTATGCGAACAGTGTGTTCTTGACCTCTCAGGATTTTATGAAAATTTGTTGCTTTACTTTAATTTTTCTAATGGTAATTAGAAATGATAATTAGAATGGTAATTTTTTAGGCACTTTTTAATGATTTTACTTTAGAAACTATTAAAAATTAATGGATATAGTTAATAATGGGTTTAAGTAAGTATGTATATATTTATTGGTTTTAGAATTGTGGACAAGGGTATGTTTACCAGATAAGAACTAGAAAGCAATAAAGGGTGGTGATATGAAGCATAAGCTTTAGATTCGGACAGACCTGGCTTTGAATTCTAGCTCCATCACTTTTTGGCTATATTATTTTGGGTAATTTATGTGGATTTTTCTTACCATTGTTTCCTAGTTTGTAAAATGGAGTTTAAAATCATACAAGCTTTTGTAAGGTACAAAATGAAAACACATATATAAAGTACTTGGTACATCGTAAGTACTCTAAAAGTGATGGCTTTCACCATTTACCCATATTCTCATATTAATGTGGATATATAATACACATAATTTACAGAGAATGTTTTGTACTTTAATCTTTCATTCATTGTTACAGTGCTTTCAGTAAATTGAAGTCTACATGTTTTGGAATTCTTCATTTTATTATAAGACTCAAAGGCTCATTACTTTCAAGTAGACTAATATAAATCTGGGAAAATTTATAGAAAGATTATTATTTATAGATTTTGAAATGTGGAGGGCATCTTATATATTGTAAATATTTGAAAATGTTAAGAGATAGACAAGACAGTCTGGGGAATATAATCAATAATGTTGTAAATATTTTTTAGGGGGCCAGATGGACT